ATGGAAATGAGTCACGAGGGCCCTGATTGTCTACGTCACAGATGAAATTGGTCTCGGTGCAAAATTGCTCCCCTTTAATGTAATTTCACACATTTGGATTACTCCCAAGAACAAAGTAAAAAATGATAAAAAAAACCACCGCAGCGATGAGCCACACAGCGCTGCTGCACGCTAAGCTGGCCCCTATTGAAAAGAGGTCAGCAGCGCACTGTGCCAGGTTCGTGAACAAAAGAAAGTTACACAACACCGCACAATCTGGGCTCTGTTTACAAGGCTGCAGGCCTGGCTGAAATACTCAGGCGTCAATAGATTTTGTCTGTTTTTTAAGGTAGAAATCAGACAGTCCTTTGTGTGGGTGTAAGTGTCCAGTAAGTAAAGATAGGAATTTTTAAAGAATTTTGAAAACAGAAAAAAATGATAATTATCCCACCCGAGCATCATCAACATTGATAACTGCCACCGGCGCGAAGTGGTTAAGACTGAATTACCTGTGATCGACTTACATGGACTTGTAATGGATTCAAATACAACACTGTCAAGAAGTGAGTCCCTGTTAATATTCCTTCCTTCAACAATTGCCATTGGAATTTATCTTTACAACATTCACACGAAATCTAGACCGGTAGCTCTCCTAACTGGACCAACGGCTGCAGGGTGGAAGAGTTTAAGGTTTGGAGACCCCGTTAGGAATACCCTGGGGACCAGGACAGAGAAGGTTGCAAGAAGGGCACTCACCGTGATGGCTTTCAATGGCTTCAATGCATTTCATGACCACCGTTGGTGCTGGCTGAGGATGCGAAAACTGCTCCCGTAAATCCATGCCAAAAATGCTCCCTGCCAAAAAATCATATTACTGAATTTGAGATTCTGGACGTGTTTAAATTAGAGTGCAAGTGATTTCTGACAATGAAAAAAAACAAAAAAACTAGGGTAATATCAAGATTACTATGGTAACCTAGTTCATGCAAGTAAAGAATTCAACGATGCATCTCAGAAATTAAGCTCAACAGTATAAACAAGAATTGTTTTTGGCCAGGTACGTGTATCTTCAAAACTGTCGCGAAAACTGGTGGTTATTGCTAGACAAGGTGAAACAGAAAGATGTAGGTCCTTTCTCCCTCAATCTTCACAGTACCTGACACATTTTCAACACTGGAAAGTCTTTGGTTTGCTTCACACTTTGGTAGTCCGGTGGCAGCGCAGGTTCGGTGACACACCAGATAACAGACTGTAAAAAGGACAAGACAGGTTCAACTTGAGTAAACTGTCAAATGGTACTTTTTGTTTGGAATCTTCCTTGCGGATACAAGCTTCTAAGGTGACGGCAGACTCTTTGCTCTTAGCATGGAATTGCAGCATGGGGACCAAGACAAGGCTGCACTAGCAAAACAGTCTTTCACGCCAGTACTCTGCAGGTTATCAGCGAGGGGTTTTTTCAAAATAGCTGGAGGTTGCAAGTCTAGCCTCCCTTGCAGCAAGTCTAGCCTCTCTTTCAGCTTAACTATGCAAAGGGCCCATTGTGTAAAAGACTAGGCAAGCTGTGCAAAAGGTATTAAATCCACATGTTTTTGTTCTGTAGCTGTGGGGACATGCACACGCTATTTCACTTATTTAGTGGGAACCGAGAAATGTTATGAGGACAGAGAAATGCCCTCACAACTCGGTCCAAATTTGCCAACAAAGGAAACTGTCCCCTTAACCCGGTGAAGGTGTACTGACATATGCGTTTCAGTTGCCTTTTCCCACGGCCTGTGGTCCTACCTGCACACTGGAGGCCTTGATGAGTCATTCCGTACATGAATTTCCCGCATTTGCCGCACCACTGTAACGTGGAGAACGTGACTTCTCGGAGAGTGTGCATTTTGGCCGGATACACAGCTGCAAAGATGGGCAAAGTGGGCATAATTTGACATCTCCTACAGGTGATCACATCATGGTGATCAAAACGTTGAGTGTATGGCACGTTTCTCAATAGAACCATCTTTTTAGTACACAAATATGCACCCTTTTTCAACGTGGAAAAATTTCAGATCTTACAGACATTTGCAAAAGTTTAGGACCACCCATACAAAATGTATTATAACTTGAAAAGTTAAATTTAAACCAATCAAGCATGGCAACGTATGTTTATTTTCAATGTGTAACCTTAGTGTCTTGGTTACACAGCTATTTGACCACATTTCCATGATTTGAAATGTTAACAGTTTAGTTTTAGTGTGCCCTCCTTTATTTCCCATTTTTTTTTTACTCTCGCCGCCTTACAGACAAAATGTCTTACAAGACCTGTCTTTGCCAAGAAATTCACCCAAATGGATGTGCAGCACTACACTGATGTTATGCACTGCTGTAAAACCATGTTAAGTAATCGTTCAATAGGACAATGTAATACAAGCCCTGTGACAGAAACACCAATAAAATTCTAGGTGGTCTTAAACTTTTGGAAATGACTGTACTTTGGCAAACACTTCACCTCACACAAGACACTCCGTCATTTGTGATATCCTTGTGTTAAGAAAACTTGAGATGATATCACTCAAGTGGTCCTTGGAAGGAAATAAACAGGCTCACCTTCTTGGAATGACAGCTCCTGCCTGTGGCCCTGCTGTCTGGACTCTGCGTAGACCAACTCATTACGAGTGTACAAGATACACTGCTGGTTGAAGTCATCTTTAATTCCGATTCCCTACAAAAAGAGACACCATTAGAAATTTGGAAATTGCAAATAGATGAAAACAAAAAGGTGACAACATTTGATCAGTGAGAGGCTGTAAATGTCAAAGCTTACTAAGAATCAAAGTAACTGGAGTATCTTTTTTCAGGTCATTTTTAACGACATGTTTCTCTCCTTTTTGTGACTCTGAAGGTGTGGAGCTTTGGTTCTCAGAAATTTCTTCTGATTTTATTTCTACAAATAAAACTACCCCCAACTCAGCGACTGAAAACACAAGGCACATGACATCCACGTAGGAATTATACGTTTTTTTCACAAAGCTGCTGAATGCCTGAATTTGCTGGAAAGAGGAAGTTCTTGGCAATACCAGGTTCCTGCCCAACATGTCAAATGTACATGTATCCTGATTCTCAGCTGATTTTCACTATGGAATTCTGCTCAGTGGCTCTGTGAGTTTCGATTGTTACAGGCAATGCTTTGCTTGTGCCAAGAAGAAGGAAAATAATTTCTGTGGAATCTATCTTACGTCTAGTGACTCTTGATTGATGTTGATCAGCTGCTGTCCATCAATTTGATGTTTCCTGAAGAGATCGGCGTAGCGGTAGAGATGTGTGACCGCCATCCAATTTAAGACATCCTCTATCGACCACTTGGAGACAGGCTACAAATGATGGTGTGTGGAAAAAGTTCACTTTCACATCAAATAATTTGCCTTTGCTGCACACTATGCGAATAGCCTTTCCAGAAAACGAAGACAGATTTTCAACAGTCTTCAAAACTAATCATCACTTGATGAGAAAACACAATCAATGTTCCCGATTAGATATTTCAGAGAAATTTGAATTATGTCTGGTATCCTGAGTACGTAACCTTTACACATTCAGACTTGAATATGTCAGACTTCATGAGTTGTGACTAGATTATATGATTTTGTGGTAAGCCTCGTGGAATCACTCTCAAGGTCTGGAACAGTGTGCTGTTTCTAATGTGGTTTAGGTAACTAAGCAACCACCAGTCCCAAAAAAATGCAACATGGCTACAGCATCTGTAGTTGAAATGTGTCAGGTATGGAAGAAAAGCGTAACTCTTCATTCACAATCTAACCCTCCCACGTCAGAGGTAACTTGCGTGACCTTTGACCTCACCATGTCTCTAGTAGTCTGTATGTAGCCACTGCGCTGCTTGTCACATTCGACATTGGCAGCATACAGCCCACACATCTTGTGATACACAAAGTTGCAGTCTTGGCATTGCGAGGCTATCTTCCCGGAACCCCAGATGTAGTCGTTGCCTGAGATACAAGCAAAGAAAAAAAAAACCACTGAATCTGAAACAACCACTTACTGATGACATCATGCTGTACAGCCTGCTGAAGGTTCTTGTTATAAAACGGAGTCCAATCAATTTTAAGCGCAACATCTCTTAAGGATTACTGGATTACTGGAGGTCGACACAGGTTCATGTGACAATGATTTATTAAAGATTCAGTAGCAATCTGGCTGCATAGAAGGTTGTCAAATCATGTGATTTATGGTAAACCTACATGTAGTGACAAAAGAGTAGAGGTGTAGAGTGATGGTGATTAGCGAAACTGACTCAGGTTGTGTCCGAAACGGGCTGCTAGAGCTACGGCTATGTCTACATGTATTGTCTGTATATCTACACATATTTCCCAATGGAGTGAAGACCTAGACCTAGCTGTAGACAGCAGATTTGGATGCAGCCTCAGCATTAGTCAAACAGAAATAAGCCTAAATGTGCCTTGATTGAAGCAGGTTGCCTCAAATTATGGTAAAACACAAACGACACTGTGCTTACAATGCTGACACAACATGGGAGTGACTAAACCTTTGTCAAAGAGCACATGGCCTTCTGGGGAGCCTGAAACAAGAGAACAGAAAAAAATGCTAGAGTTACATTTCACTGATTCTGAAATAAAGGGTCATAATGATGTTAGGCAAGTACATTAGATTTGCTGCACCATGGAGAATGTCTTTTGTGACACAGGGTTGGCTCTGGAAGGAGCCACTAGTGAAAATGTCTTGATGTCTCAAACAATCCCTTCCGTTGATCTTCAGGAGCAATGTTGCTAGCAAGTGTCAGACAATTTCTCAACAGTTTACTGATAAAATACAGTAGACAGCATCTTTTGAAGAGGACAAGTGACATCTTGGCAGACACTCCTTTCCCCTTTTCATTCTACTTCTTCAAAGCTCAGCTTCATTACCATTTCGGTCCACATGTTGAGCTCCACAAGGTCAAAGGTTTCACTGATGAAACAACCTGGGAATTCTCATCAATCTGGCCTTGTTTTTGAAAAGGTGCTTCTATAGCAGAGGAGGAAGCGGTATGGAGCCAGAACAGGATTTCAATTCCTGCCCCAAGGAGGTTCAGAAAATGTTAAAGCAGACTTTCCAATTCTAAAAAAAGGTTAGTGGAAAATGGAATCCTATTTATTTAGCTCTTGAAGGTCCCTTCACCAAGCACAGCTGATGGTAGCAAGCCTATTAACTGTCACTATATGGGTACTGCAGATATAGGATATCAAACCAAGTATCATTTAACCTCAAAATTTGATTTGTAAATACACCTGCATGTGTACCTCAGACAGTCTCCCTATTCAACAACGCGAAGCCTGACCATGTATTAACATGGTCCATGTTTTTCATGTCCCTGTCACATCTGACATACAATTTTGTGAGTTCAGAACAGATTTTCTACATGTAATTTTCAAGTGTGACCAATTAACGCAAATTGCTTGCCAAGCAAACAGTAATAGTAAATCAATTTTGGTGATATTTCCTTGTCAAATAACAAAGGTCAGATGTAACAGGGGCACAAAAATGTCACACTTTTGGACCCCTAATTTCTGGAATTATCAACCTGTAACTACAAGTACCACGTGCACTAGTACAAGGTCACAATCAATTGCCATGTTCACAAACCAGTCTTTAAAACCACGTACATGTACATGTACGTTTATGTATGTGATCAGCAGTCTTTGAGAGTACCATGCGACAAATTCTATGCATTTATTTTTCTAATTTCTTTCCAAATCTGTCAGAAATGTTTCAATCTTTTGGTGTAAACTTATCCTCCTATGACCACTTGACACAGAACACACTTTACTTCAAAATGGCTCTGGGCTCGAATGGATGGAACCGAATTTCACACTACACGTACATGTCCTTGGGGCAGACATTTGTGGGCACTAACTTGCAATTGCGAACCCATGCTCAAATATTTGGTGCCTGACTTCGGAGAAACTCCCCTAAAAATTTGAAAAAAAAGAAAAAAAGATTGCATTTCAACTGCACCAGTTGAATACTTCCTGGTTTGTTCCTGTTTCCTGCAAGCATGCTAAGGCAACCAAACACTGGTAGGTGGTGTAAATACATGTATCATCATGCACTTTCAGGCATGAATGTAGGTTAAATACAACGCCATACATACATGTACATACAGTGTGCATGTACGCTTGTGTGAAAGCATTCAAATCAAAAGTGGCCACGTATTTCCTTGTTACAGTCAGCATATTATTGTGGTCCAGGACAGCTGCTGAGCATGTTCCTGTAGGCCAGATTTTGAGGGTTGCCATGCCAAATACTCGCTGGCACGGCCTTCTGCGACTGAGTTTAAATTCTTGAGAGCCCACTTTTCTCCCACATTGGGGGCATTTCTTTTGTTGGATACTGTAGGATTCACAGGTCACAAGATTTTCTGAAATTGTATTGTTTTCAATGAAATCAGCTTGGATCTCCAACTATCCAGAACTGTGCTGACTATCACCATGTGTTTTTGTACTTGGATAAAAATCAAGACATAAAGTACGTGGCTAGGCTCCGCAGTCCTGAATCTGTCAAACTTAATTTCAAGCTGGTGACATTTCAGGAGATTTCAGGCAGTTTTTACAATGTACATTTTGACTAAGCTAATAAAAACTCTCAAAAATCACATCTGAGTTTTTTCCGTTCGCTATGAGATTCACCTTTGTTATCATAGCCTTAATATACACGACATAAAACATTTTTCACTCAAGTTTGATTCATATTCACAAGCCTGGTCAAGTGGTCATTAACTGCACACATTATTGTATTGTATGTACTAATTTTTCTCATATGATGACTTCTCTTCAGGGAAACAGAGGTTATTTCAGAGCAAGCTTGGGAACAAGTTATACATTCAAGTGCAAAATTCAAAAACAGAGGATGGCACATTTTCACTCTTAATCTACAGGTACAAGAGATGGAGATGTGGGCAAGCCCTCACAAGAGACAAAAAAAGTACAGTAGGGCTGCCAAGTGCAAACTTTGAGTAGGAGTTTAAAGTGAGAATTTGGCACAAACAAGTACCAAGCCCCGATCTGCTCCGAGCCGAACAAAAGAGGGTGAGTTTTTTTGGTACTCACCGTGTAGGTGCGCGTTTATAATGGAGATCTATCGTGCATTTGATGCAGAACGTGCTGAGTACGCGTAACAAATTCATTCCTTAACGTATGGTCTCTGTGTACAAGCAGAACGCGTGCCAGAACCCGCTTGGAAACTTACAACTATCTGTATTTCTTTTGCCGCTTCAGGGTACACTTCAACTCGGGGCAGATAGTGTGAGCTTGGGGACTCGCTTACAAAGAGGCCTGACAACTTTTGGATTATAGACGCTATGTGGTACAATCTGAGGTGATTTCTGACCACTTCAGGCCATTTTTTTTGAGCAAAAAATAATCATTCTCAGTTATTTTAGGCTAAGAAATTCCATGTCAGCTGGAAAGCGTAAGTAGAACCTGAAATGTGTGAGCTTCATGCTCAGTATGTGAGAGTTCGCGGTCCATCAGGGTGTGACATTTTCAAAATTGTCCCAATTATTCAGTGCCTCAAAATGCCTGGCACCTGTTTACTTGGTACAGTGGCATGCTTAAGATGCTTTCATTACAGGCAGTATTGGTAATGACAGTTGGTGGATGATCAAGAGTCATGCGGGATGTGGCCCATTGTCTAATCCAAGACAGTCCTGTCCAGTGCCATTGGACAGACGGGGTGACTCAAGTTGATCCTAGCTACATGCAAGGCCTTCTGGTCTGCCCAGTAAATACATGTTCCCAGGAAATTTGGGTCCAATGACATAGGGCTCAAGCTACAGAACTTTCACAGTGGATTCCTTCAAAAGCATGTAAGTCCTTTGTTTACCCTTATTTTCTATCAATGTTTTATGCTAATACAAATTTTAATATTCATGAGGAATACTGTGATGTCATTAATCAGGCAAAAGATCTCATCTACATATAAGAGATGCTCGAGCACAGAGAAGTGGCTGATATTTTACTTCGCCAAAATAAACAAAATTTTTGTCTCTTAACGTACATAAACTCCTCATATTCTTGGGCACTTTTCTTGAGAAAAATCTCTAAATTGGACCGACATATTATGCAGTTAACAATGGCACTTACACGTACATGTACACAGTGTCAGTGGTTGGGTTAAGTAACTCTACTTCTGTCAAACTACCACAAAACCTAACACTGAACGCTGATGATTCAAAAAGCAAAGGCCATAGGCTAAAGCAGTGTTTCAACAAAAGCCACTGTCACAATAAGTAGCTATCCAAACCCCTCCATGAACCGTGAAATCTCATGAACGGCGAATTTCCTGCAAACATGGAAAAAGGTTAAACATGTCAAAGGGGGTAAATTTCCATTTCTGTTCTGTTCTGTTCAATTAAGGAACAGAAACGTGCGGCCGCAAATGTACACCAATGGCAATGGCATAGGTACAGAAAATGTCAATGCTGTTGACAGTAAATTGATCTCTGATTTCTTTTGAAATCAGGGATGGTACACGAATGTGTTGTATCATTCCAAGCATGAAACAGTTTCAGTCTTGTGTGTGCGACGAGAACTATTCAACAACTTGGGTCGCGGTTGTTTCTGAGGACATCCCCCCCCAACATTACATGCAATTTGCAAATTTTGACAAGAGAATTGCCGCAAGATTTGGACAGTCACCAGGAAATGAAACACCTGTTCATATCCTTGCAAGGCAATAAAACAGGTGTCATGTTGGTGGGCATGTACACTGTACATGCGTGAACATGAACAACAACCTACTGGTACAAGGAAACTTCTCCCTACATGTAGTTTGTAGTATTCAGCGAAACATTCCCAATGAACAGATTTACATAAATAATAAATGGTCGTAGAGACATGGCTCCAGAGTTTGGTTTGTGTTTTCCTCTGTAAGCTTGAAGAGGCAGGGTCAGGCATAAAAAATCATTGTGCGACATGTACAAGTTGAAACTCCTGTGTATTAAGAAAAGTTGGCTATATATCACTTCCTTTCCAAGTAATGCAATTTACGAGAACAGCTTCACAACTAAGTCAGAGAGCATCCCCGTTGAACATCTACTTGTACAATAACATAACTACTGAAACAAAACTAGCGATGGGTTTTCCAAGAATATGCATCCATAGCAATTCAAGAGAAAGTTAACATTTGAAGGATAACATGCTTTCAACTGTGGAGTATGAAATGACACCTTGAGCATGCTAGTTTCTCCAATTACAATGCAACTTGAGAGAACGAGCCAGAGGTTGCTTGGCTTCTCAAAACAAAGAAAGGACATGCAGTTCTAAAATGAATTAAGCCAAGGTTTATTACTCTGAGCTTGCATCTGTCGTTCACCATGATCACTTGTTCTTTCCACTCAAAGCCAGCGGCCTTTAAATAATAAAGTACTTGTAAGTTGCTTCCACAGGTACACTGTATTTTGTCCATGAATTTAAATGACTTTATGGTCTAATTTGCTTTTCACTCTGACATTTCTTGAAAGTTCCTTGGCTGACAAAATACTGGAAGTTTCATAGTGTGAGTTCTCAGTATCAATTTGTTATTATCTTTAGAAATACATGTACATGCATTAGGTTTCCATTGTCTCGTTATCTTGAAGAACCTTGGGCTTCCGTGTGCACACACGCAGAAAGGTTAGGGTTGACCCTTGGATTTGAGAAGACTTTCTGTCAATGCCGCCACCAGAATTATATACCATTTCTACCAGTACATTGTAACATTCAGCCTCAGGATATGCAAGCAACTTGGATGCCACTTCATCCAATACAGGCCTTGCGTGGTAGCCATCTTGCAGGGCAGTTTTTTTGTTCCACAGGGAACCCTCCTTTGTGCATACCCTGTGGAACAAAAGCACTGGCCTGCAAGATGGCAGCCATTTAAACCCTCTAAAGTGTGTTGTGATTTGCCAATAAGGTCTTTGAGAGGGGTGAATGTTGCCACAAGAGCTAGGTTTTGTCCTCAGATAGGTCCAAAGCAGTTAGAGAACTCTTGTTCTCATATTGGTCTACACAAGTTCTAAAAGATCCCTCATGTTGTTGGAATACAAGCTGTTCTATGAACTGCCTACTACATTCAACTTTATCCCGAACTGTGTCTATCTGTCCTGACATGCCTGAGTTGAAGTGCACCCTAACCAGCGAAAGAAAGACAGACAGGATTCTTGCACACATTCAGTGTGCATGGGAAGACCATACATTCCAGGATAAATTCATTACGCATACTTGGCGTGCTCCGCATCAAAGGCGCATAAACTTGACACCTATGGGGTAAGTTCAAATCAAAGGACTGTCAATTTCACTTAAACACATGCCCTCTTTTGTTCCCTGCTCAGAGTGGGCACTGCCAACAATGTAATCACTGAAATGGAAAGCCCACATTGTCATGTTAATGAAGGTTCCTTGTTATGCTAAGTGTCACTGAAGCGGATAATGCAGTGGTTATCCCATGCTGAAAGTACATGTGGAAGAAATGAGTGGAATACATGTATACATGTACATCGCAAAGAGGAAATCACCGAGAGAAATGGCATACACTACATGTACATGTACAATACTGTCTGACCCTTTTTTTCCATATTCTTGCCACAAGGGAAATGGTACTTGGAGGTATCATCTTTTTCAGCAAAGTTAGTAAAAAGACATCAAGTAGGAGAAGTTTTCTCTTTGACAAAAAAGGGGGAAAAAAGTGTCTTTTCATTTCAACAACATGCTCTGATGATTCTAAATTACCTAGTTGAAAACATGTTTGGTGGAATAAGGAAATTACAAAGTGGTTAACACCTCACTGCACAATGCTGCAAGCAACAAGAAAGCACCAGAGGATCAACTGGCGCTGATGCTGAAAATTATGAACGTTGTCCAAAGTGGCTTTGATGTTAGAGGTAGTGTAAGTGTGAAAGGCATCCTGGCAAGAAATGTCTCTTGACCCACCAAATGTCCTCTTATGCTTAAACTCTATTCAAATCCGTCGAGCATAATGTGTAGTTGACACTGTCCGTGGGCCAATTTCATGGAGCTGCTTAAGCACAAAATATGCTTAAGCAGGAAAAAACTTTGCTTAATAAACAAAGGTTACCAGCTCAAACTCTGATTGTCATGCTAACCCCCAAAGAAAAAACTAAATACAATCCCCAAACAATATACATCACATGGAGTTTTGGCTGGTTACCTGATTAATCAAGTAAGGTTTTCTCTCGCTTAAGCAAATTTTGTGCTTAAGCAGCTCTATGAAATTGGCCCCATGTCAGCAGGCAAAGTCTTGTAGTTCATAATTTCAGCCACTTTGAGACACTTGCAACTGAAGTATGTAATACTTAATCTCCCAGAATCAATGATCTAAACGGCAAAGCTGACTTCATCTACAGAATCAGGGAAACTCTTGAAAAAAGCGATCACGTACTTGTACTTCCACACTTGCTATTCTTTCAAAGTGGAACACCACATCCCAAATTTTAGGCAGCCTGACTTTTCCAGAAAAAAGGCAACTAATCCTGTTAATTGATTGTGCATTTAGCTTTGGTTTTAGTTCCAAGTTGTGGACAGCACCAAAAGCCAGAGGACCATGAGAATATTACAGGTTAAGTTTGTTTTTGAGATTAGTTGGTCCAAGACACCGGGAATAAAACTTGTATACGATACCAGTTGAGCGAGTCCGAATCTGCCTTTCAAACTGTGCTTGCAACAACCCTGATAACCTCTTCTTGCGGGCGAGAGGGGACGGGGCCATAGTGGATTGGACATGGGACGCAGTCGATGCACTGAGGTGAATAGATTTGGGCTGGTGTTGCCTTTTCTCACTGAGCAAAGGGCCTGTGTGAATGCCCACAAGTCCAAGTTAACCAAAGAAACACATCTATTCCCTTCAAAACCCTTCTCTGGAATATCGCCAGTGAGCTTATGAATATTCATCACTGTGTAATTAATATTAATGACCTGAAACACATCAAGAGCACAACATTTCATCTTTGACAATTGATGCCAATCACAATTTGCTTGAAAAGTTTAGCAGAGACAACAGGACATTGGCCTGCGCACGACATGCAGTGATCAAACTTTTGAAGGCCAGCAAAGGCCAAGTAGAGTCAGATGGGCTTCCATACCACTCAATATTCCTTTAACCCTAACACTCCTCAGTCCTCCAACAGGTGAAGGATTGAGGAGGGTTAGGGTTAACAGGGCAGCAAATGTCTACAGTTCACCAACACTTATGCATGTCAACAAGGTTCCAAGATCACTGTTACTTCATATGCAGACCACACTCAAAACCAACACCCTGAACCTAACCTGAGGTTTGAAACGGGGCCGTGCTGATCATTGGAGAAATGGTTATTCTATCTATTATTAAATGTTAAAATATTTATTTTTAAAGTCAAACATTTGGCTGAGAAAATCAATGAAATAGAATAGGGACAAATTGAACTACAAGTTAGTAGTTTGCCTTTTTAATTGTATTTTAAATTGCACTTTACAAGACGTAATGCACAAACTTGCTGAATGGATTCGTCCAACAATGACAAATTTCCCTTTAAGCTTTCCTTTTTTCACTTTATGTAATAATGATTATGCATAGTTTGTTTCTCCTCTTGTAGGAATTTGTTTTATTTGATCGTATGGAAGGTTGCATATTAATCTATTCAGATATTCTAATCAACTCGGCCTGAGTTTGAGGATACATGTACTTACAATTTACCAAGGCAGTTCAGTTTTAGACTGGAAGTATGCCAACTGATGTTTCTGTGACGTACCTCAAAAAAAACTGAATAATGATCCAACTTGAGCCTTCGAGACTAAACTTACTTGTTTTAGGAGAGGTCCTGGGGTCTTGTCGTCCTGGATCAACTTGGAGGTAATTTAAGCCTGGTGGGTGCCTTGTTTCCACATACTTAACAAAAGTACCCGGGAAGCTGCCGCTCTCCTGTGTACGTTCGTTGACGCCCTCCAGCCACCCCTTGGGCTCCTCCCGCGTCCCCTGGAAGTAGGGCAGCTTGGTGGGGTTCACCACTGTCATGATATCCCCCATCCTCATCTCGATGTCCTGGGGAGCCTTCTTCTCGAAAGCATACATGGCCACGTAAGTCACTCGCTCATCCATTGTGACAGACTGTCATCTAATGCTAATGTCCAAATTCAAACTCTGCACCTTTTTCAGGGCAATCCCTTATTACCTTGCCCTCAGTATGCGCAGTCTACACGGCATTTTAATCATAACTTTTATTGGGGGGGGGATGTGTAGTGATGACAGAAGCTACCTTAACCACACACGTGCTTTAGAAGAGGTTTACCCCTGCAGTAGGAACTTTGATATAAATGAGGCCGTAGAAATGGTGATCCAGTCCTTTAATAAGCAGTAACGCTGTTTTTTTCAGCTGTCATTCGTCCAGCATCAGCCCTAATGATGAGAAAAACAAGCAGGAGGAAATCTGTTAGATAATGAATTTATATATTGTCCCCTAAAAGCTGAATCTGTCCGCAGCTTTCTCTGCACCAGTATTTTCTTGACATGAAAACATAAACTACAAAGTGTTTATTATAAGACTAGACGTGACTGAGAAGTATGCAGATGTGCAGATCGTCTTGTGATTAGAAGCAGGATGTCCAAACCAATCACACATGCATTTTAAAGAGATATTATTTACTTTTGACAGCTTTTCCGGGAAGAATTGGGACGAGAAACGGAGGGTCATTGCTGCACTGCATTCAAAAACCGAAAACGTTACCAACCCATCAAAAAAGGCCTAGGCTATGAGAACAGAAGTTGTAGATTTGCGTCCATTACCAGCATGTCTCAATGTCACAGCCCCAAAAAGTCATTATTTACAAAAAAATTCATTATTTGTAAGAAAAAGACACAAAATCACAAAAAACAGAGTTCCAAATCTTCTTTCTGATCTATGTATTTTATCCATACTAAGCTCAGTTTAGAAAGATGGCTTTCGTATGTCCAGATGTCTGCTTGAGCTACATCAGTACATGTATTGCCAACCAATGTGCTGGATGTGTGGCTAAGGATGCCGGATGGAGCGGGAGTGAGAGCCCGTGGTACACTAAGTGGGGCTAGGACACATAGCCTAGGCCTAATGTGTAATGAAACATACCATTCATCGGACAAAGCAGAACGATTCAAAGGAAAAGGTAGGATCCTCCGGACATCTCCTGCATCTTATCCTCTTAAGTTTGAGGTCTGTAAGCTCAGATGAGGTGAAAACTTAGACTAAAAAACCTAACCCTCTCGGGCAGGAAGCGGAACTTTTGCATGGACTTCGTGCAACACCAAGTCAACGGAGAAAACTGGTACCCGCCCCACTCTCTGGCCATGCAATTTCAGATAAGAAAATATGGGAACCAGTAGGTAGTCTGAGACCCTTCATTTAAATTGACGAAAACACTATCACTTAATATTGTAGATAATTCTGGGATTAAGCTAAAATTCTCGACACGAAAAATAACGAGAGGGCGCTATATAGTAAAGAAACTGGAGCCGGAAGTATTTTGGCAACTTTCATGACTTGTTTGTGCAGATCAGGTTAACCGCATATAATGCCAGTTGGTAAGCCGTGGTTGATCATGAATGTCATCGTTAGGAATTACCATCGTTATCATTGATGTTACTAGAGGTACACAAAGCATCAAGGGTCAAGCTGTGCTGCTGTAAAAAATAAAATTAAATATTTTTTAAGTACATCATCCTACAACCTAGTGTAAATGATGTACAGTATATGTATGTAGGCCTAACTCTTTGGCTGTTCCCGACCGGCCCACTTAGTTACCTTAGTAACCTAGCTTCCATGGCCTCTCATGTGTGATGAGCATGATGTTGAATGTTGTGTTCGTCTAAAGTCATGAAATTAGACCTAGGAGGCCTTATTGTCAGCATTCAATCAAAGGAAATCATGGAATGAGATTGACACTGCACTGCAGAAAGGTCAAGCCCAACAAGAGTAATGTTTTCCAATGCAATGGTTATACATGGTGAATGTTGTACATGTAGATGGTTGCTACTGGTATTTCACCATTGTCATTTTAGTAGGAGGTTCCAAACTTGTTGAAACCCAAATGTACCCACAGATTGTGATGGGCAGTTTGTAAAAATCATGAAATGTTAAATACAAAACCTTCTGCAAACAGTTTCCTGGTTACAGTGAGTTAAAATAGACAACTCCAAAAATCCGATTTTCAAAATGCATTGAGGGAAAACTGGTAGAGACATCCGGTTTCAAACAGAGCAAGATTTAGTCTGCAGATATTGCCAAGACTCCCCAGGACTCATCCTCTGTACTTTATTTCAGCATGGAATGTAACAGCAAGTGACCTTATTGTGTAGCTCATTTCTTCAGAGTCCACTAACTTGGAGCATCCGTCGATTTGCATCCTCAGCCCAAGATGTCTGGCTTCGAAAAGGAGGCTGCTAAGATGCTGTTGTTGGATGACAGTAGATCATCTGATGCTGAGGAATTTCCACTTTCTCAGCTTAAAACAAAGAAGTCAGCAAAGAAACGGTAACGCTCTGATCTGTTCAGAACACCTGCCCGACACCCTTCCCCCATCCATTTAAAAAAACCTTCATTTTTTACCTAAGTATCTCTTAAATTCAGCACAGCTATCCTTAGTTTTGCCAGTTTATACAGACATTTGTTCATAAATTGATTACCAGGAATGTAACCTTTTCCATTCCTCTCCTTCTTTTCCCTTCAATCTTGTTTTCTCTTTTCCTTGTCTTAGCTCTCATTCTCCAACTAAATAATTAGGAAAAAAGAAAACATTTTGCCTTACTCTAATGATACAAAAATTGCTGCCAACTGTTCAATAGATACAGTGACCTGAATTAATTATGCAAATATAAATGGCTTTGAGAACATTCACAATGCAAGCCTTCAAACTTTTTTTATTTGAACTTTTTAAAAGTAACTCATGAGTAAAAATTCACCTGATAAACTTGAAGATACAAATCAATCCACAATATTAACTGGCATTTGAGCACTCGTCGAGAATCAGAACGAAATGGATTAAAAACTCAAAAGTTTTACAAGTTTCTAGATATTTGGCCTGAAAATAAATCACCCTCCAAAAATTCTTGTTAATTTCAGGAGAAAGGTCATTGTATATAAGCCTAAGCACACCTGTGTCACCAGAATGCTTATCTTGGTTCCCATCATCATTTTCATCTGCATTGCTGGAGGTGTTGCATATTTCATCGTTAAAATGGAGAATGAACTGGATTCCATGCAAGGAAGGATAAAAACTTGTAAGTAATAAAAGAGTGATTTGTCTTGTTAGTCGAAAATACTGAGATGTTGAGTCTTTGAAGCCCTGATGAAACATAGATTTTGGAAGTTGGAATTGGACTGTACAGATTCTGAAATTCTGATAAGATTTAATGACTTCTGTGCTTGGAAAACACACATAGCCCTTCCCATGAAAGGACCCTATTTTTTTTTATTTACATTTTTGAGGTTTGTAGCATTGCCTTTTTGCCTTTATTCATTTTGTATTGTATATTTGACCTTTGGTTCACTAGCAGAATTCTTAGTTAAGTTTTTTAAGCGGCTGGTATTTTATAATACAATGATTATGCAAAGTTTTTTCAAAATGCATTGTTAATGTGTTAATAAACATATTGTTAGATTGTGCAGTGTCTGGATTGGATTTCCATCATTCTTGTCTGATTTTTATCTTAATCTGCCTCCTAAAGAACCGCTCTCCCATTTCCCTTTTCATCTTTCCTGGACCCCAAAAATTGACAATGAATTTCCTTTCTGAAATTGACAATTTCTGTGTCACTTTTAATTAAGTTAATTTAATTCAAAAGTATCATAGCCTAGCAAAGAAAAAACGGAATGGTCAAATTTGGCTCTCAGGGATTACTTTTGGTTTCAATCAATCCCTGGTTGATTTGACTTTTTTTTTTAGATATTCGGGGACAAAAGAAACGTCCACAAAATCTGGAAGTGCAAAACTTTAGTTTTAAAGTTCGCTCCACTCTGTCGACAGAGGGCGATGTTTTAGTTGAGCAGTCGGTTTATTTCTACGTGCATTTTGCGCACGTTTAAAGAATGGTGACACGAACTATATGCGAATTTCCGTGGCTGTGTGATTTCTTATACTACAGTTCATGGTTTTTCCTGTGAATCGATTCTCGCTCTGTGGAAATCTTTGCGATTTTTGCGTCTAAGATGACGGTGAGTCAAATTATATGTCGTCTAAAGCAGTTGCTTTATAGTGCATGTACATGATGGGGTGATCAAAGATAGTATTTGTTTCTGAAATCATGGGTAAAAACATGGAGGGAGATATGGGAAATTGTTATGGGTGGGACACGGGCAGTCGTGAGGCGTTGATGACGTTGTGGTCCAATAGACTAGTCCTATATTAATAGTAATACAGAGTTGACATCGTCATGATCATCGTCGGGCCAAATATGAACAATGACTGCAAAACGAACTTGACATTCGGCTTGTTCGGAGTATTCTGTAATTGATGCTTTAGCCTTTATACTTCACCAAACTAATTAGGCCTAAATACCATAATTTGCTCATAGGCCTAGGCCAAAATCAAAGTTACTTTTCTAATCTTGAGTTGCATTAATGTAAAGTTCACATGGTCAGGTCGGGGACCAAACCACAATCTAGGGATGATGCATCCCTAGCATATGCTGCTTGTTTGTGCAACGATAATGTAATCTTTGAACTATTTTTAGATCACGGTTCACAGATGACATCGATCTCTAGACTTTATCGGCCAAAAACTTCAATAAAAATTCCTCTGATTGATTAAATTTACAGGAAACATGCTACCCAAGATCTAAATGAAACTTTCCTTTCATGTGGTATTTATAAAAGCAGATCAAGGGGATTTTTTGTCAAATCTTGCACTGGATGTGTCAAATTCACTGGGTAGGCAAGTCCAACTCTGCCGATGAAAACAATTACGCGAGAAAAATAAAGCTTTGCCGAAGTTTACTTTGTGCATTAAAATGTTGCCCTTAAAAATCTCCATCAATTCACCGTGGCAAATTTTATGTTAAGTGCGGCGATTTTTCAAAATAACAATTGGAAATAATTTTGCTACACACTCCAATGGTAATGGCAACGGCATTGCAAATCTCATTATTTTCCCAAATCGTGCTGGAAATTTACATCATTATCATGTGACCTGATAAAGATGATGTCATTGCCGCTTGAACAAGGGACATAAGCAGGGACTAGGGACATCACTAGATTGAAGTTTGGCCCCGACCCGACGGTTGAGCATGTCTTTATTTATGAATAAAATGTTTTGCATAAAAGACATAGGGCCTACATGGCCAAAGCCTATCATGCCTAGGCCTATGTCTTGTTTTCCTTCCGTAGGCCTAATTATCATCACAAACTTGTGCGAAGAAAACAATTCAGGATAGAAAAAAATTCTGCTGCAAAAAAATTGCCTTCCCTCCATAAAAACCACATTCAGGTTCAGGCCTAGAATTTTTACACAACTTTCCCCGAGTTCATCCCATTTGAATGCTTTCCCCGCACTCACTCATGCAAGCGCAGTTATTCAGTTTGTCACTTCAGTGACATCACATGCTTAAATTCTATCTGGCCTAGCCCAAGTGACTGACCTGTCAAGCAGGTACGAAATGAGATGAGTATGTGAAAGTATGGTGGCTCAGCTGAACGTTGCAAGGAAAAGTTGACATTGTTGTAAATAATTAAGAGCTGAATATCACTTGCAGTAGCAAATGGGCTCAAGTCAACTAACCATTCGGATTCATTTTGCAGTTTAATCGATGCATGACCTCTTGACTCGGTTAAGGCACTTTGAGTTATCAAGATCATTCATAAATTACCTCATGTTGTGTCTGCCCGCTGAAACCTATAACAAGATTACCATTAAGCACAAGGGAAGTAATCAAATATGTTGTATTTTTGTTATTTTTAGCATTTTAGAATTCTGTAATTCTCTAGTTAGACACTTTGTTTACATGTAGGTCTATAATTGGTTTGATTCAATCACCAGATGCATCAAGTGAATCGATATCCAAGTCTTGACAGTTGAGATTCAGAAGGCCAGGTTTTCTAGCACCAAGGGCCCTGTGGGTAGTTGATCAAGCTGGAGCTTCAGAATGCTAATCCTGGCCTGGTGCCGGGACGGACCAATGGCATCAAAAAGATGAAAAAGAGGAAGGAGCTAGATGCCCTCCTTCTCAACAGCATGAATGGCAAGAAACTAGGCAAGAGTTCGGGCAGCGGCAAGGAAGGTCATGAACTGCTACGTAATGAGGCCAGCTGGGACTCTAACTCAACCGATAACGAGGAATTTTTCTCCCCACCAAGGAGGCTCGCAATAAGAAAGTAAGTTCTGATCTGAATAGGAAAAACCTTTTCATAACATCAACCTAATCTTCTGCCCCTTCTTGTCAGGATTTTTCCAGATTTCAGGATTTTTGATTCCCAAATTCAAGATTTGTTTAGTTTAGTTATTTGTGTGTTTACTCTTTATGTAACAAACACAGCGTACGATTTACACTGCCTTGTTATTTGTTAAAACCCTGACAAGTCACAGTAAGTTAGTACAACCTCCTTCCACAATACTTCGTGGATTTCTAGCTGTCCCCCATATCACCGTGCCTGTCCAACAAAATCCCACAATCTTGTCTCCTTGATTTGAATGTATTCAGTATGTACATGTAGAACTATGGCCCTATTATTTAGATAAGGAATTATGTCTCAGCTTTGTTCAAGTCAAAGTACGTAGATTTTGCCATTAGGCTGTTGTTGGATTTCAGCCTTTACAGGAAAACCCTGTAAGTTAAGATAAATTATATACATGTACCGGTTCGCCATTGACAGTATGATCACTCTTGTAGTATCTGCTCATTCCATGAAGTACTTTTTGTGCTGTTTTTGATGGATGAAACACTTTTTCAATCCTTAAACAATGCATTCTTGGTACTATTTGTTCTCCCCTCAGACCCGCAAGATGGCGTGCTTGTGCCACGGGCCTACAGCTGTGTATGTTTGTTGTCATGGTGGCTTGTATCGTCGTCACTGGCGGTCTGGTATGGATGCATCTAGACCTCAAGCAAGACTTAGATGAGTTGAGGTTGCGCATTGCCAAAGGTGATCCCTAATTCATTCAGAAATTTCAACAATGTGAACCTACAAGTAGTCAAACCAAGCTCTTACTTTGACTCCAAATATATCTCTGTGATAAGAATCCCAAATAAGGCATAGTATCGGAAATAGTCTGGCACCACCACATTTGACGGATTATATTCAGTAAGATAAATTCAGTGAACGTGATCAAATATGACGTCCATGTGAATAATACCATTTGTCTTCTAAAATTAACTAAATGTACCGTCTATGGGCAAAATACAGAAGAAGGACGACTCAATGAAAGCAACGCTGAGTTTGCAATAAATGAAAAATAGCTTATTATTCAAATGCCCTGTACCAGCAAAACCTGCACTGAGGCACTGGATGGGTAGATAAAGTTCGTTGTCATGGTTACTGCTGTTTGCTGTGACAGTGGATTTGTAGTAGCCGCTGTTTACTTTACCTTATCTTTTATTTGTCCTCCTTGGCATCATTGAATTTCTGCCAACTTTCCCCGAATGCTTCATTAGTTCTTGTTGTACATGTATCTACATGTATGTACCACGATTCCTAACATGGATTATGGAAATAAGTTAGAACACAAATAATTCCCATGCTCCCTAGATAAAATTGCAGAATCGTGGTACATCGGTGTCACTGTGTTTGCTGTGCCCCGTATGATATCTTTCATCTTTTTGTTTTATGTAAAGAGCGCAAACATGTAGGCCCTTTTACTTTCTTTACTGTTTGTCAAGTTTGCTTGAAGATAAACTCGTTATCATGCCCGCGTTCGTGGAACATGGAGTAATGTAGTGGGTCTGTGTCCCATCCGTGTAGGCCACAAGACCCAAGGCCCAGCGGTATATGTATGTCACTAGACCGAAGGCCCAGCGGTATATGTATGTCACTAGACCGAAGGCCGAGCGGTATATGTATGACACTAGACCGAAGGCCAAGCGGTATACGGGACACAGACGCACTACATTATTCCATGTTCCATGAGCGCTTGTGTGATAACTAATAATAGCCAGTAGAGTTAAAGAAGTGGTCTGTCAACTGTATTATTGTACCTGTTCATTGTATTCTGTTTGCCGTTGAGGTTGTTTGACCTTCTATCTTATTTGCATTTTTACAAATTACAGTGTACAATGTGCCAGTTTTAATGGAACTGTACACAAATTGAGATATGAACATGTACATTTGTATTTGTAACTTGTACCAGCTTAATTTCCTCTTAAACCTTAGCCGATTTCATTGTGTCTGCTGTCTGTCATTCAGGGTTCATAAAATTTAACTATCATAACTAGTGTTTTTATTTTCTGAAGACATGCTCATTTTGCATTTACACGCTCAGGCAAAATTGGCATTCAGACTTTGAGTTCAAGCTCTACTCGCACTATACGCTGCATGCATTCACATCTGTAATTACATGTACTTTAGTCAGTAGTTTGGTATGTACAGTTTACAAGGACTTAAATTCTTTGGATTGTATAAGATCACATAATTCCTGTGTGATATGATAACATCAACTGTGTCATCATGCTTGGGTCAGTGATATGCTTAATTCAGACTATGTGGCTGTTTAACATGTCAAACGTGTGCAATTGGGTGCCCTCAAGTCAATTTACTTAGTAAATGTGTCGCACTGTGGCCATGTCCCATGAAAGCTCGTGTATTCTCCACTTAATGTATATGTGTATGTACATGTACATGTAAGTGGTGGTTAAATTTCAATCACTGATTTCTCTAGAAGAAAAGAATTCATTTTAATGATATCTTTGGATATCAATACCATGTTTGTGAAACTATGCCCTGTCTGTCATTACATTGAAGACGGTCAATGCAGCCAGTTAGGAATGTTGAGATGAAGTCATGTCTTGCCAGGAGACACACCTAACTTGTTGGGAACAGGGTAAACATAACAATCTAAGCCTCAGTCTTCGTTCCCAGTACTTCCAATGTGTAAACCCACGTGGCTTATCCACAGAGTTGCCAAGTGGAAAAATGTTGTCAAGTGAAGTTGCTTGATGAGTATCAAAGTTGGCAGGGTACCAGTTACACACAGGGTCCATGGCTGGCCATCCTGGCTGGTAATCTTGCATTGCTACTTGTGCCCCTTTCTGTAGTAGTAAGTCGCGGGGCCATACTAAACAGTATTCCTTTCATGCTGTCGCAGTGGAATCGGAATTGAAGACGTCCACGGAGCAGGCGTTGACAGTGAGTGCACTACAGCAGAAGATAGAGCACCTGCAGAAATTACCAGCACAGATAAGCAGTATTTATGCCCAGGTACACCATCGACAATTCAGCCGTTGTACCCGTACAGCAAAGATTCAAAAGCTATGAAAGACAAAATTGGCATTAGTCAAAAATCATCAACTCAGTTGAAATTTCAGTTTATTCTGCGTACACTTACAAGAACTTGTGAAGTCATATATGTCACGGCAAATTTGAGAGTCGTGTGAAACTTTCACCCTTATCATTAGCTGCTCCCCCCAAACCCTATTGTGTCGCCATTGATTCAGGAAGGATTCCTTGCTTTAATTACCAGGTATTCTTTTCAATGAATTTTTACAATTTCAGATACGTGCCGTGAATGCAACAAATAGTCAACTTCGGTCCAGCCTGGCAGCAGTGAAGCAGGAGTTCCAGTCTCATTCCACTGCTGACATTGAAGGCTTGCAACAGGTAAAGCCCAGACATCATGAATGTGCTAGACCTCTTTAATTTGCAGTATATGAGCTGCCATCCTGGTTGTGCTTATACAAGTTTATTTCTTTTAGCAGAGTGCGCAAAGATCTACTTGCGTTGGGGAGATGTTAATTTGTAATGATCGGTTATATACATCGCTGACACAGCAAAACCCATACTTTAAAACTTGGTAGAGTTATCCATGAAAGCAGTTGTTCCACAATAATAGGGATATTCATCATTAATTGGTTAAAAGATAAGAAAATAACTTCTGTCATTCTTTTGCAGTATTCTGTTTTGTGCGTTACCTTCTTTCATGAAACCGACTTGTTTAGAGTTAATCATCAAGGTACACTGCAAGAGTGATGTTATCTGAAACCATGATGCATGTGCACACTTTAGTCTGTACCTGAGGTGTTCACGAATCTGTCTCTTCAGTATCACTAAGCTCAATATTACTAAGGGTAACGTTCATACATCTCTGGGCTGTGATTCAGCCAGCAGCCAGAACCCGACCTCTTTTTTCATCCTGTCACAGTTTAAGTGTACATGATATCTGTAGTATCCTGCACTCTTACACGTCTACTCCTGACCACCATAGCTCTACCCAGCAACAGTACCCTTTTGGAATGTCCTTGTAGCTCTGCCCTCCTCTAGATCCTAATGACCCCACCTGCTATACATCAATCAGTGTACCCTATTAGACCTAGCCCCATGTCTGCATGTATAGAGTATATAGTTGTACTCCTGTATCTGACACACAATCAACCAAGCAACCATCAGAACAACTCAAGCTTGTGTCGAGCACACGGTATTACAATATTTTCTTTTTTTGTTGGACAGTCTACAGCTCAGATCGGCAGTGCTTTGCAAGGAGTCCAGAGTTTACAGACTCAACACACACAGCAGATTGACACACTCACCAATTCCCTCCAGCAGCTACAGGTGTAGTATCATATGGTGCTTTCCAATCAAGAGTCTCTGTTTTTGGGTAGATTGATCCATTTGTGTACTTGCCAGGATTTTTACAGCTGGTTTTGTTTTGATTTTGGCAGAGTTACAGCTGGGGAGGTTTGGCTTCAGGACTTCACACGAGTTTTGTTGTAGCTTTGGAAAGATGTTTTAATTGGATTGTGATACAGGGTTTGATTTGGGCAAACAGAGCAGGATTTCAGACAAAATCTCAAGTGTTGGAATTAAATTATATGACATATTTCACTGGACAAAAGAAGTCCCGTGTCTGTCACCCATATTTAAACAGACAAGATTGACTCATCCATTCCAATTTCTGTCAGACTGGTTGGTTTCATTCAGCCAGTACAGTCAAAGATTTTTTTTTACACTTACAGACAAGCCTGACAAGTTTGCAAGGTAATGTCAGCCAGCTGCAGCAAGAAGCTTCAGTGCCTACTCCAAAACCCAGCGATCCCGCTTCTGACACCAGTCACTCAAGTGAATTCTTAGACGTTGGGAAAGTAATCCAGTCACTACAGCAGGTTGGCATAGCTAAACATTTTTACACCTGTTTGAGTGGCTGTTTTTCTGCATTGTGGCACTGTCAATCTCCAAACACCAAGTTAACTGAAGTCTGGTTATCTTGATGATTAGGAACAAGAGGCCATGTCAGTAAATGTGGGTCACCTAAACACCACGGTGGCCACCATTTCACACTGGAAAGAAGCCCTAATGCCAAGAATTGTAGCCCTGGAGTCTACCCCTCATACCAGCGATACAACAGATGACGCTTTGGCAGAGAAAGTCACTCAGCTACAATCACAGGTGAACACTTTGGTAAGTTCTATGTGCTGACTGAATTTAGACTTCGACATTTCTGCAAAAGTAGCGCTTTGTTTGTGTGGAATCAAGACAGACCGGTTAGGCCTGTGAATGGGGGATGCTTGTCGTCAGTGTACTATAACCAGTTGTTGGGCACTTGGCTTATTCACAGTTACAATAATGCTTTTACAAAATTTATTTATAGATGAGTAGCATTCATAGTCAGACACCCGATGGGGAGACCGGGCATCAGACATCAAATTCAACAACAAGTGATGTACCAACAGACTGGAGACGAGGCATCGAGTCTGATATCCAAGTCATTCAGAAACAACTAGATGAAGTAAGTTACACTCCTTGTCTAGTATTTACAAGTATGCCTTTGAGCCTTCCGTTTAGCAGAACCACAGTGAATTTACTGAACAGTAGTCTTGTTGCTGCATAGCATTTCTAAACCGTTGCTCGCTTGTCCATTCTTCGTTGGAAGGAAGCACTCGTGATCTGTCCACAGATTTTCCTCTTTAAAATACCTGACACTAATGAAATCATGCCTGACCCCATCTCCATTGCAGCTCAACCCCCGAGATCTGAACAACAATCTCCTGAATGAGAACACGACCCGCGGCATCCAGCAGCAGCTGGAGAGGGCGCTCTCCCTCTTCAAGGCGGAAAATCTGAAGTCGGTGGACGACGTGAAGCAAGACAACCAGGCAATCTGGGGCAGACTCTATCAGCAGCATGGTGATATTACTGACATGCAGAAAGAGGTGGATGACCTACAAGTCAGGGTACAAGACCTGGAGAAGGACATGGGTAAGTGAGATGATGAATAGGCCAAACAACGTAGTTGCCAGGGTACCAGACCTGGACAGTTAGACTGGTAAGGGGGATAATGAATAGAATAAACAACTGATTATGGGGTACAAGACCTGGGTAATGAGCCAGGTAAGGGGACAATGAATTGCACAAACAAGCTAGAAGTCAGGGTGCTAGACCTGGAAAGGTATGTTGACAGCCGAAATCTCACAGTCTAGAAGAACCAAGAATTTTTTTACCAGATAATAGTGATTAATTTTCCATGATTTTTCTTCCTGTAGGACATTCGCCAGGCCCAACATCTTCTCAGTCATCAGGTTGGTGACACTTTGAAATTTCATCTCTTTTTCCCAAACTTGTCCCGCATTCGCTAAAGAACCATTTTAGCCAAACTGTTTCCAACTTTGCAAAAACGAAGGCCGCATGGCTCCTGATTGTTTCAAGTCCAAATTATTCAAGTAATATGTGTCCCTGTCCACACTAGCCCCAACCAATAGAAACATTATGGATTTCTATAGATAGGGACTTTTCCCATGCTTTGTGTATAAAAGCTGGCTTTACATCTCTAAAATCATTTGTTAATAGTCATTGACCACAATAGTGTTTTATAGGGACAAAATGAATCAGCACTAACCTCTGACAGCAGCTATGTACATGCAAAAAGATCTTAATTTCTATAATTGTCACGACTGTTTTGTGTAGTGAGGCTTTCAACTGTATCAGAGTCATCTACACAGCATTCAGTGACTCATGTCCACCAGCAGCCGATCACGATACCAGAGATATCAACAGTTGACGGTATGGTTCCATCATCATGAGCTAGAGTTTGTGTAGCTTCACATTCATTGCATAATTTTGATGGTTTGGTCATTGTTTTTGGATGACATTGTGTGTGTGTGGTTCTTTCTGTTTCACAGAGCTGGAAATGAAGTTTTTCATCATGGATGATAACGATGATGATTTGTTGTCCTATGCGGAGCTGAAGGATTTCTTTGGTCCTAATGCACCCCCCAAGGACCAGCTCATGCAATTTGACAAGAACCTGGACGATAAGCTGAGCCTGGATGAATTGAAGACAGCTCTTGGTTTCCAAGAACAATAAGTGCTGCTTTTGCAAGTAACTCCCAAGTTTTCCTTCATGTGCGGTTTAAGTCTGTGTGGAGACAAGGCGACTGAATTTACTTGGACAGGCTTTTTATGAGTTGTGCCAAGCAGTGTTGTAATTTAGACCATTTAAGACCATCACAAAACCCCATAAGACCATCACAAGACCCCATAAGACCATCACAAGACCCCATAAGACCATCACAAGAGCCCATCAGACCATCACAAGACCCCATAAGACCATCACAAAGACCCCATAAGACCATCACAAGATCCCATAAGACCTTTTCAAGACCCCATAAGACCATCACAAAGACCCCATAAGACCATCACAAGACCTTCAGTCTAAATTCAAGTCACAAGCTATTCAAATGAACTGCAACAGAAGCATTTCTTTGTCTCACTGTTCGCCTTGTGACTTGTCTTATGATGGTCTCAAATACAAAACTGTGGTGCCAAGCAATGCTGAAGACAGTGCTGTTGCTAGAATTCTGCGAGATGAAACCGTCACCTTCTGAAATCTTTGTTTCAAGACGAGCAGAAACGTAAGTGCTGGTTGGTTCGTGTTCTGGTGATTGTAGTCATATTTCTTGAGGACAAAGTGTAAATGCTATTTTGAAAAGCAAATTTGAAAAGTAGGTGGGAACAAGGAAGTAACAGAGTCAAGTTTCAATATTTGTCAAACTTTTTTGACATTTGTGCGAAGAAGGTTGATTGCCAGAAGTCGTGTGACATCCTTTGCCCAGATTGGTATTCTGCATCTTTTGGACAGATACTATGTTGATATGCAAAGGTGATCTATTTCGAAAACTGGACCTTTTAAAAATCTTGTTTCGTTTTTGGTGTAATTTTTATTCTATTCAACCTGGAGCAGAACTTTTTCCACAAAAAAAAAGAAAAAAAAAACAAACTTTGTTCATTTTGAAGTAGAGAAGTTACAGGAGGGTGTATTTGTGAATTGTTAGGAACTTTTGCAGACAAAGATTGTAGGCAACTCTACTAAATGACTAAAAACAACCCACCCCCAATTTGAATTCTTTCTTCCGCTTTCTTTAGTGATGCAAATTAGAGCCTGTCTTCCTTTGATCTGTGTTCTCTTCAGTGAAAATGTCAACGTAAAAAGTAGGCAACAATAAAACAAAATTGGATGTGCATTTTACACTTGTCACTTAGGTAACCATGTAGTCTTCCATTAATCAATCATATCTGTTTTTATATGTAAGTGCATAAATATTCATGTTAATCAGCTTTTTCTTGGATTCTTTTCTTTAGAATAATAGTGCAACTGGTTACAACTGGTTAGAACCAGTTCAAACTGGTAAGAACCAGTTTGAGGAACAATACATCTATTAATCCAGTATCTGACATGCAGCTTTTAGATCAGTTCAAAGTCTGCTATCATGTTCCATCCGGAACAAACGAGATCAGTCTGGTTGTAGCCAGCTATCAGTCGGTCATTTCTGTGTACAATGCAATTTTTCATGAAGACAAAAAAACTGCCGTGAGTGGGCTGGGTGCAGACATACACTCCCTCCCACCATTCCCTTAGCCCCTCCCACTTTTTCGAAATCAACCATGCACAAAAATTTTTCCACAATTTGTAAAAATGTCAAAACATGCCGTTACAAGTATTTAACATGTATGCATTAACAAGTGAACAATTTACAAAGTTCAACAATTTACAAAATAACTATTTTCCTCCAATAGGAACCTGTTGCCATATGTACATATACTGTACATATATATTAACAAATGGATTTATTGTTTTGAAAATGAGTAAAATAGACAAGTAACAGTACTGTTGAGTAAATAACATTAAAATAAGTTTCATTTGTTGAAGATTCCCATGCTGGATAGAATTGCTAGCAGAGACAGAAAGGCCTTATAGAACATGCTGATTTTACCAGTCGCACTGCAGTTGACTAAATGCTGGCTAACTTCATTCTCTGCTTGTAAACTTCTAACTTCAGTCAAGCCTGGTTTTGTCTTCCTCCTAATCCCATGGACATCCTTCCCAAATCCTCTAAAATCCTTTGTGCAGGAAACCAATGGCACATTCTTGACCCATCAACTTTCAAAGGGCATCAAGCTACATGTAAATAGTGGTTTGGCTCCATCTTCCTCAATCCTACAGTTGTCTAAACCTGATTGAGTTTAAAGGATCTGGGAAGGCCGGAGTTATAATCTGACAAAAGGCATTGATCAGAACATCTGATCTTGCTACCACTGTTTGCCATGATACCAAGGTCCATGCCATCAAAGTCATGTGGCAGGTCATGTGATTGGCACATGATCAGTCATATTAGAATTTTGTTTATCTGCAGTAACATTAGGTTGTTCTCGTGTGTACATGTACTTGTTTTGTTTGTGCTTTTGAAAGTTTACTTTTTTTCTATAATGGATGCTGTTAGACATATTAAAAAAAGTAATTGTCAGGGTAACTTGGAAGGTTGAAGTTTGAGAGTATCATTGTTCTGTTTCTTTATAAAAGCTGCATGATTGGCTACAAAATTCACCTCTTTGTAAAGGCGGGCATAACCTTAACCCTAACAGTCCTCAATCCTTCACCTGTTGGAGGACTGAGGACTGTTAGGGTTACGAAGAGGAGTTTTAATCCTCATGCACGCTCTTACCCACAGGAAATGTTGCCACTTGTTTGGTCCAAGGAACCATTGTCCGAGATTGTGTTGCAAAATTTTGCCATTGTGTTGAGACCCGTGTATTAGGTATAAGCATTATGTAAACAATAATTGGCTCTGTACTGTATTGTATATAACACACATACGCAGACATGTAAAAAAAGGGTGTTTTGAATCATGTAAATGTAATTTTTGTTAAATATTAATGACCATTATTAAACCATGAGTGAATTCAAGTTGTGTCACAATTTGCCTTGCTTTCTGCTGGTTGGTAGAGGTGATGGAAAGATGGTAAATGCAGAACAGCCATCGAGTTGCTGAACAACAACTTCTGTTACAAAATCTTTCACTCACAATCTGATTTGTGTTGTGATTCGGAGATAAACTGGGCTGATTTTTACCCCTAGAATGGCAGAATAGTACTCTGAAATTAAATATGGGTTGTAAAATTAGGACTGAATTGATAATGGAGTTCAGAGTTATTTTTCAAAGGCTTCACATACTAGAATCTGTTGGGATCGTACACTTTGTGGCAAATAATTTTTGTCAGTTTACACAAGTTCAACTTACCAGGTTTATGTACGCAAAAACAATGCGACAAAGTAATTTCAAGATGCAATCTCTGTGCATCTGGAAAATGTTTATTTCATTTGAACAAATTATGCAGGTCTCAAAATATTTACAATCTCTTTACAAAAATCTGAAATGGTTGAGAGGTGTTTGCAGTTATTTACTACGACCATTCTATTACCGATATTTCATATTTCAAATAAATTTTGGAAAATGTATATAAGTAAAGATGGGTTAATGCTTAGGGGTAAAAAAATCTAAACACGTATGCTGAAGCGTTAACTCTAATTCCTAATGTTCTTAGCTGCTCTTTCCTTTTTTTCAGGCAAATTTCTTTTTCATATAATGTAGGAATAACACTGAGAAAGTAGAAGTAAGTTCTTTTTTTTTCATTTTGCATTAACTCATCAACTTGTTTCAATCTGATCTGAATTGAAGCTGTGTTTGAGTGGAAACTTCTGGCAAAATGAAACCTACAAATCCTCATCTTTGGCGTGGTCTACTTGATATGGTGCTACCTAACAGAGTACACATCATTCATTAAAGCAAATCTGTTCTTGTCGCTGTTCATGCCGTAGCAGACAGAGCAAAGACTGAAATGTCTCGGAACCAACAACTTAAATTTCTGACTGTTTTTAAACTTTTAACCCTAACTAGTGATATTTCTTTCAGGGCTCAATCCTCCAAACGCATTCCAGAGCAGAATGCAATGATAGTTTCCTGATTACGTGTACTTTCAAGACGCTGAGTGCGATGTTGAGGATCGATGACTGGGATCTACCTCCCTCGATCCTGCAAAATCCTCCAAAAACTAGAACCTTCAAAATTCTATTTTGAAGGGCTTCTGAAGGGGATGGACCAATTTATGAGTTCAACTTGGTAACATCAGAATGGAGGTCTTCATTTCAAAGGTAAATTCTCCTTAACTGTCCAGGGGAGGTGATCATGTTGCACTGTGGACACAGCTTCTTGGCTCCCTGAGAGGTAAATATACACAAACAATGCTGTAGATAGATGACAGAAGATACATGGCAAAATTTACCAGATTTTTACACTTTAGATATTGAAGCAAGCTAATCCATTTTTCAGAAACCTCAAGATTCATGTAATATTACGCATTGTCATACCTCTGTCTTGAATACTGTATTTCCACTGTTTGATATCAATCAAATGACTGGGTGACAAATACGCATGTCACCCTCACCAATTGATATCACATTGTAATATTACAGACTAGTTACTACCCCCCAGTCCAAACCACAGTCCAAACCGCAGAGCAGGGACCGGTAACCAGACTATTCATGGATACCTCTGCTATTTTCACCTTACAGTTGATTACAGTAAACTCTAGTGGCAGCAGCAAACTGGCGCTGCAATACAATTAAGCATTGGAGCGCAGCGAGTTTTTGTCGACAGTTGAAGCTTGTTTCCTTCCATAAGTTCCCTAACATAGAAACTCAGGGATGCATAGCACCTCAGGCACAATTAATCCCTTGGTGTTAAAACATCATGTCCCACATCACGGCAGTCGATGACTATTAACTCTCTCTGCTGTTAAGGTGATAATTACGGTTCACAAAGTTGATGTGTGTTTTCCTTTATGAAGATTTGGACTCAACTTACCAATGTCCTTAGCCAGCACTGCTGACAGTGAACGTGCCAACACTGGATGGACACCAGGGGAACGCTAAATGGTTCCTGTGGGGGTGAAAAGAATCCATAGGTAGCTTTTGCTTGGTTTTTCACACAATAGTTTGCCCTTTGAATAAGACAACATGATCTTCCAGCAATGTCTGGTCAATGTCTTGCATGAGTCTGTAACAGAAAAAAGTTGTGGTAGAGGGACTTGGGTTGGATTTGAACCCGCATCAGCCAGCTTGCAAGTGCAGATGTTGCACCACTCAAAAAGCAAGAGCTCCACATCAGAGGGAGGGGCTAATGCTGTCTCAACCCCTCCATAATTCCCTACCCATAACTACGACTCACCATACATATAAGGCATTTGATTCGGACGGCTGCGGCAGAGTCTAGTTGTTCCTGTAACTCTTGTATTCTGGCCTTCAGACACTCCACGACAGTGTCAGACCTGGCTGAGGCAATGCCCTCAGTCCTTAAAAAGAAAAGGAAAGAAGTGGCTTCAGGCCATGAATTTAATCACTGAATAATTTCCACAGACTTGAGTTAAAGGACCGCAGTTGTACCCTTCTTTAGTACCTGTGTGGTTTGGTGTCGCTAGGCACGTGACTTGTTGAAGGTAGCCAGGGATCTGGAAATCAAGTAAAAAAGATGAGGACTAAATTTCCAAATCATTAATCTAAACTATGTGCAGACTGAAAGGATCTAATGATGCCATCCCACATCAGGTAGAAAATAACACCATCGGTTCTTTTTACAAGTTTGTCATTTTTATTTAGAAACACTTTTAACCCAATTCTTTGTAAACACGCCTATAAAGGCAAACTTGTTTTTGTCTATTTCCGAATGAACGAGACGGCATATCTTCCTTCATTTAAGCATCACAAATGAGTTGGGAGAGAAATAAACAAAGCTTTTTTTAAATCCTGACCTGGAGCTGAACCTGGCGGGCTGGCTCTCTCGTCACTGCTGTGCAGGAAAAAAGACGGAATACAGACCTGAGAATGTAACTCTGCTGATCCACTCTACTGACATCATTACACAGCCACATTTCCAATGCAATGAATAGCTCTTAAATGGTTTCTGGGGACTGGCAGTCTGATATGTTGGTTCGGTGCAACAAGATCTTCAATGCCATCAACGAATCTCTAGACAAGTATTTTCAGGAATTATTTATACCAACACTGATCAGGGGTAACGTTACTTTGCTGTGATCTTCTAGTTGACATATAAATAAGTGTCATACCCAACGACGGCATCTCGTAGAGCCTGGCGCTGTTTGTCTTCCGCCGAGTCGTCTGACGGGCAAGGAATGATGTCGACCTCGGTGAACTGTTCAGGGCCGTATTCTGCGGTGTCGTCGTCATCCACGTTGAGTTCCGTGTCGCACTCTGCCTCCTTGCGACCCACTTCAAAGCCAGCCTCTGGACAGAGGGCAAAGGAGGGTGGACTTGGAGCACTGATACTCTGTGCATTATGTCATTTCAAAACAAGGTGTTGGACTTTGAGGATTGCGAGAGGCTAGCATGAACATCCTTTGCCCTACCTCTGAACCTGGAGTCTAGCATGGACGTCGCTCGGACTCTGGTCTGGCCGCACCAGGTGTACTCCTCAAAGTCGTCATCCTCACCATCAACGTTCACTTCTTCCTCTACATCCTCCTGACTCGGGTTAACCTTTTCATCAGCAAGGACAAGAAACTAAGATGGCATTCATTGTCACATGATTAACAAGTTCTATAGCTGACACAGTATCACAAAGACCAACATGACAGGTGCGAGCAGCCTTGCAGGTTTCCAAGATTTCACTGTTTGCCAGATGCCATGGTGATTCTTCCTTCCCTGAGACCTGATTGGCTGGGATTACAAGAAACATAGGAAAGGCATACCCTACCTAACCTTGGCATGCATGCTGACCTCTGATTTGATGTCTAAGACAGTAGCAGTGTTTAGACTAAGACTGTGTCTACATCAATTGGTTGCGGCTGCCAGTAAAACACACCTCTATGGAAAGTGGCCACAAGCCAAAAGCCAGTGACTTCCATTGACTCATGTATTATTTCAAGCCCTAGCCAAAACATAGCAGCAACATTTGGCTCAGCAGCCAACCAACCAGGTTACCCGCTTAAATGTTATCTAAACTCACTGATTTGTAACTAGTTCCCAGCAGACTTAGCAGCCAAGTTTTGCCAGACAGCATTTGGCTGCTTGATAGCTCCTTTAAACTGGGCCTAGACAGGTGTTCGCTAGTACCCAAGCTCTATCCTGGGGTGCTCTATCCTGAGTTGGGTCACACACCTTTCTGAGGCAGGCTTCAGCATGGGTGTTCCTTTCCTCCACTGAGCCCGTCAGCACCTCGTGGCAGATAGGACACAGAGCTGCGCTGCTCGGTGTCTCCTCTAGTGGCTTCTTGAGCCCCTTCCGACATCGACCGAGGCGAGCTGAAAAGCCCAAAATGTAAGCAACATCTTCAAGTAATCCCACCACATCAGTTGATTATGATATTGTCACAACAACTGGTAGGAACTATAAGGGAGCCACGCTTAAATTTGAAAACCATAAGCATGGATCCTAAAAATGAATCGAGGAAATCCTCACCATTTAATCTCTCCAATCGGTTACGCTTCACCCTCATATATTCCTAGTAATCAAACAAAAAAGTTGAACAATTAAAGACTACCAGATCTTATCTTTTATTGATGATTAAACTTAAATGATAAGTGTGATAAATGTATCACTAGAATATGGTGATGTCACTCAGAATCTGACCCCCCTATCTCTCCCAGATCCTTCCAAATCCACCAAAAAGTTTTGGAGGATTTTGCAAGATTGAGAAAAAGTTACTTTACATGGACTTGATGTATCTTGAAAGTTGAAGTACACGTATAAAGAGTGAACCATCTGTTTCCTGCACATTGCAAGATTTGATTCTGTGACAGCAATTGATTCTTTGACAGCAATGCCTGGGCAGTGAGGTTTCAGCAAGGCAACTTGCTCGTCCCTACCCAAATCTAGGGTGCAGCCTCCCTTACCTCTCGCCCCTACCCCTAATCTGGGGTGCGGCCTCCCTTACTTCTCGCCCCTACCCCTAATCTGAGGTGCGGCCTCCCTTACCTCTCGCCCCTACCCCTAATCTAGGGTGCAGCCTCCCTTACCTCTCGCCCCTATCCCAAATCTGAGGTGCGGCCTCCCTTACCTCTCGCCCCT